TATGATCTTAACTCACCTATAAAAAGACACAGGCTAACAGAACGGATTCAAAGACAGAACACCCTTCTGCTGCAGAAAAGAAACACACCTCAGCCTCAAAACAGACATTATCTGAGAGTTAAAGGTGGGGAAAAGATTTTCCAATCAAATGGACCCAGGAAACGGGGGGAGGGGGGTAGTAATCCTAATATCTAGCAAATTGGACTTTAAAATAAAATCAATCAAAAGAGATGAAGGAGGTCATTACATACTCATCACAGGCGAAATCCACCAAGATGAAGTTTCAATTATAAGCATCTATGCCCCAAATACAAAGTCATCCACGTTTGCAAAAGAAACAAATAAAACTCGAATCACATATAAAGCCCTACACACTTGTGGTGGGAGACTTCAATACCCCACTCTCACCACCACTAGACAGGTCTACCAGACAGAAACTTAATAAAGAAGCAAATGGTCTAATAGAAGTTATGACCCAAATTGAGATTAACAGACATCTATAGAACATTCCATCAAAAAAAAACAGGAATATACCTTCTTCTCAGCACCACATGGAACCTTCTCAAAAATCGCCTACATACTTGGCAACATATCAAACATATCAACAGCTTCAAAAAAATTAGAATAACTCCATGCAACTTATCAGGCCACCATGCATTAAAATTAGAATTCAACAACAACACAAATTGCAGAAACCCTACAAACACATGAAAATTGAATAATGCACAATTATACCATTCTTGGGTCAAAAATGAAATTAAAGACTTCCTAGAAGTCAATGGGAAAGAGGTCACAACATACCCAAACCTATGGGACACTTTAAAAGCAGGGCTACAAGGGAAGTTCACAGCACTAAGTGCCCACATGAAGAAACTGGAGAATAGTCACACTAGAGAATTAACAGCACAGCTGAAAGCTCTAGAACACAAAGTAGCAAACTCACCCAGGAGGAGTAGACACCAGGAAATAATAAAATTGAGGGCTGAAGTCAATAAAGTAGAAACTAGGAAAACAATACAAAGAATCAATGCAACGAAGACTTGGTTCTTTGAGAAAATCAACAAGATAGACAAACCTTTGTTCAAACTTACCAAACAGCAGAGCATGAACATGCAAATTAACAAAATCAGAAATGAAAACGGGGATATAACAACGGACTCTAAGGAAATCCAGAGAGTCATCAGGTCATACTTTGTTAACCTGTACTCCACAAAATTCGAAAATTTAAAGGAAATGGACAATTTTCTGGATAGCTACCACTTGCCAAAATTAAATCTGTAAAGGGAAGCTTTCCCACCAGCCTGCTTCCAGAGCCGCATCTGTCCCAAATAAACACACAGGAGGCAATATTAATTATGAAGCTGTTGGCCTTGCTTGTTTCTTACTGGCTAGCTCTGACTTAAGTATTTATCCCATAATTGCTAATCTAAGCATTTCTCTTACCGGAGAGGTTTTCCTGGGCTTCCTACCCCATGGCGTTAAATCTTGACTCTCTGAATTTCTCCTGTGTTTCTCCTATCCAGAGTCCTCCTGGATACCTAGTCCCACCTATCTTGGTTCCCTATTGGCCAAAAGTACTTTATTGACATATACACAGGACTTCCCCCATCATAAATCAAGAACAGATAAGCAATTTAAATAGACCTATAACCCCTACCCAAAAAAAGTACAGGTCCAGATAGACTCAGTGCAGAATTCTACCAGAAATTCCAAAAACAATTTATACCTATTCTTCTCAAAGTATTCCATGCAATAGAAGCTAAAGGGGCTTTGCCAAACTCTTTCTATGAGGCTTCAATAACATTCATCCCCAAGCCACACAAAGACACAAGTAAGAAAGAGAACTTCAGAGCGATATCCCTCATGAACATTAATGCAAAAGTACTCAATAAAATACTGGTAAATCGGATCCAAGAACATATCAAAACAATCATTCACCATGATCAAGTAGGTTTCATCCCAGGGATGCAGGGATGGTTCAACATATGAAAATCCATCAATGTGATCCACCATATAAACAAGCTGAGAAACAAAAATCACATGATCATCTCACTAGATGCTAAAAAAGCCTTTGACAGGAACATACCTAAACATAATAAAAGTTATATACAGCAAACCAACAGCCAACAAAAAACAAAATGGGCAGACACTCAACACAATACCTCTAAAATCAGGAACAAGACAAGGCGGTCCACTCTCTCCATACCTTTTTAATATTTTACTTGAAGTTCTAGCTAGAGCAATACGACAACAAAAGTATATCAAGGGGATATGAATTGGAAAGGAAGAAGTCAAACTTTCACTATTTGCAGATGATATGATAGTTTACATAAGTGACCCAAAAAACTCTACCAGGGAACTCCTGCAACTGATAAATACTTTCAGCAAAGTGGCAGTCTACAAGATCAACTGAAGAAAATCAGTAGCCCTACTATATACAGATGATAAAAGGGCTGAGCAGGAATTCAGTGAAACATCACCCTTTACAATTGCCACAAACAACATAAAATACACTGGGGTAACGCTATCCAAACAACTGAAAGACCTGTATCGCATGAACTTTGAGTCTTGAAAGAAAGAAATTAAAGAAGATACCAGAAAATGGAAAGATCTCCCAGCTCTTGGATAGGTAGAATCAATGTAGTAAAAATGACAATCCTGCCAAAAGAAATACACAGATTCAATGCAATCCTCATTAAAATACCAGCACAGTTCTTCACAGACCTTGAAAGAACAACAATCCGTATTGTATGGAAAAACAAAAGACCTAGGATAGCCAAAACAACCCTGTTCAACAAGGCAACATCTGGAGGCATCACCATCCCTGACTTCAAGCTCTATTATAGAGCTATAGTCCTGAAAACAGCTTGGTATTGGCATAAAATAGACAAGTAGACCAATGGAATCTAATTGAACACCCTGATATTAACCCATACATGTATGAACGAACATCTGATCTTCAACAAAGAAGCTAAAAATATACAATGGAAAAAAGAAAGCATCTTCAACAAATGGTGCTGGCATAACTGGAGGCTGGCATGTAGAAGACTTCAGAGAGATCTGTGTCTATCGCCATGCACAAAACTTAAGTCCAAATGGATCAAAGACCTCAACATAAATCCAACCACACTGAAACTTAGAAGAGAAAGTGGGTGGTACCCTTGAACCAATTGGTACAGGAGTAGAAAGAGAGTAAGTGCTAGACACAACAGGACAGCTGCACTTACGAACTCACAGCAGATGTGACAGCATGCATCAGGCATAAGCTGTACAACACCTGCATGAGCTCAAGACAGAGCAAATCCCAGTGTGGACCGGGAAGGCAGGCATGAAATCCTATAGGATATTCTTAAAATGGGTTACTGAAGTGGATGGAAAGAAAACGACATGCCCCGTGGGGCAATCTTTTCCCGCTGCCCCATGCATCAAGATGTTGAACGTTACTCCTCTCCAGAACCATGTCTTCCTATGTGCCAATGGCCTTCCTGCCACGAGGACAATGTCCTAAATCTCCGGACTGCAAACCAGCTGCAATTAAGTGTTTCCTTTATAAGAGTTGCCAGGGTCATAGTGTCTCTTCACAGCAATCGATACCCTACGACTTTTTGCTCTCCACTTACAAGTAAGCGTGGTACTCTAATATGCAGGACCTTTTGACCACCATTATTCCCTCTGGATCTCAACCGAGCTCCACAGCTGAAAATAAACTCCACCTGTATCCTAACAACTCACAGAATTTTTTTTAATCCAGGCATGTCCTGTGCACACGCATAGTGCACACAGACACCCTCAACAATCTCCACTACATACGCATACATGTTTGTTCTACATATCCAATATTAAATTAAAGGTATCCTCTTATCCGTTCGCCGTGCTTCGCCATACGTAGCTTTCCTCGTCTCATTCGCTGGCCATTCCGTCCTCCATCCCTGGGCAGACATTGGTGGTTTTGCCTTTAGAATGTTTCTAGAATCTGAAACAATTTCTCACCACCCGCCATCATAGTCTTTCAAATTTCTACCAAACCTTTGGTGCTTGCAGACAAGGCTCTCCGCGTGTCTTCTTGCCCTACGTGCTGACACGTTTCCTTGTGTCCCCTTTAAACATAAGGAGTGACCCCAATTTACTCAAGAGTAAAGCCACAGATTCTCACTTCTGTTGCTGTTACTCTCAGACTCTTTAACTTCCCACGTTCCTTAAAGTTTCCTTAAGTCTCCCCCACAAATGTCTCCACTCTACAGAATCAAATGCTAATGTCAAGATATTAAATATATATATAAAGCTAAGCTTACTCAGAATCTCAGCTAGCTAAAGTTCATAGGAAATGGCTTAGCAGAATTCTGAGCCAGGTTTTAATGAAGAGAGAGACCTCTCAAGCCAAATTGCAGGTAGGTGTGGGGGGGGGGGCGTGTAGGTTTGAGATCGAAGTCGTACTTAAATGTTGTTATTAACTGCATGCTGTGTGTGTAAGAATGGGGAGATCACTCTCTGCAGGACTCTTAGAAACCAGGCGCCTTTAATCCCAGCACTCAGGAGGCAGAGGCAGGTGGATCTCTGTGAGTTCGAGGCCGGGCTGGACCGACAGCCTCCAAAACAATACAGAGAAACCCTGTCTCGTAAAACCAAAAAAACAAACAAAATAAAAAACAAAAAGAAAGAAAAGAAAAAAGAAACCAGGCTCCAGGCTCCCTATAAGAGAAACAGGTAGGTAGCATCGGCCCATGGAAGGACGTTCAATCCAACAAGGCTGACTTGCCAAGGCCGGGCACTATCGGGTAGCCCCATCTACACCTACGGCAGCCTCTCTCTGGGAAGCAAGGGGACACAGGTGACTCTGAAGGAGGGGTCGGCCGACTGACAGCAGCAGCTTGGTCCGGCCCTCCATCCATCCAGCATCCCACGTGGGCCGGACTGGGGATGGGGCGTCGGGGCCTGGAGCCGGAGGGCGTGACCTGGCCTCTGGGCGAGCCCTTGAGCGTGCCCTGGGCGAGCGCGGTCACCTCGGCATCTGGGTGATGGTTCCGCGCCGCGGGCTGTCAGGCGTGGAGAAGCGGGAGACCCCGGCGCAGGTCGCACGCAGCCGGGCACTGCGAGGAGCCCATCTGCGCGCGCGGAGCGTTGCCCGGGAGACGCGCGCGCCGCTGGCACGCACGCGCAGGGGCCGCGGGCGCGGTGACGTGGCCGCGCGGCGAAGGGGCGCGGGGCTGGGGCGGGACCGTGCGGCGGGGGCGGGGCGAGGGGGCGGGGCGCGCGCCGCGGAGCGGGGCGCGCCTGCGTCCCGGGCGGCCTCCCGGAAGCGGGGCAAACCATGGCTTCTCTCCGCGATGCGAGCCTGCAGAAACTGCGGCGGTTTTCCGAGATGAGAGGTAGCCGTGGCGGGACGGAGTGCCTCGCCCCCCTTCCCCGTACCCTGTGCCCGCCCGCCCGCCCGCCCGGAGGGTGCCTTCTGCCCGCGGACCCCTCGCCGCGCCTTCCTGTGCTCTCCTCTTTCCCGTCCGGCCCCGTGCAGCCGGCCGGACCCTTGCTCCCCACCGCGCTCTGCTCTGCTCTCCGCCAGCCTAAGCTTGAGGGTCTGCAGGGGGCAGCGAGAGGTTTATTAAACCCCTGGCTCCCAGGTTCGAAGTGGGCTTCCTGACAGAGTCTGCAGTCTCGTTTCTGCCCCTCCCCTCTTTTTTTAAACCCCCAGGCTCCTGCATAACTCACTCACCGGCTTATCCCCCAGTTGAAGTCCACCAGGAAGGCAGACTTTAAAACTTCTCTGATCAGCTGTCTGGTGAAACTGGTGTTTGTGTCTTCCTGAAATGTGGGGACTTATGTTTGCATACCAGAATGTTTGCAGTGACTAAATCCTAGGTGGCTGACCCCCACTTGCCTCCCTTCCCCTCTCCTCTTCTCTCCTCTTGTTAAAGGAAAGGTCGGAGGTCTGCTCAGGACACCCCAAGACGAAAGTTCTCAGCACACAGGACCTTTCTCTCTCCCTGAGGGACAAAGGGCAAGGAATAAAAGACGAAGGAGAGGACCGGGGAGAAGGAAAGGGGACAAGTTAGATGGGAAAGGATACTGGTCCTGAAGAAACGAAGGACTGTCCCTCTTGGAATAGAGAGGAAACAGACAGGACCCATAGACCAAAGGCAGTTTATGAAGGTAAAAGAGGAAACTCGGTGTTAGAATGAGTTGCTGGACTTCAATACAGCTGTGCCTACCTAGTCAGCCTCAGGGGAGGAGCTTGACCAATTGGGGGAGTAGACAGACCCTAGCGACCAGCTTTAGGAGTATAATCTCATGGTTTTGAGCAAGGAAGAGGCAACGGGGAGGGGGGCAGGGCCTCTGTGTTTCGTCCCCAGTACCACAAAGAAAGTTAATACTAAAGAGAGGAAAAGTTAACAAATAAACAGCACCAATACGAGCTCACGTTTCTGTACAGAAACGGCGAAGGAGTGTGGGAGCTGGTATTTCTCATGAAATAACTGATTCGTGAGACTTTGCTTGATTTGGAGGGAAAAGATTGCCGTGGGGTTTTGTTGTTTGTTTGTTTTTGTTTTTGCAACCTCCTCTTACTCAGGAAGCTCGTAATGATTACGCCTTTTTTCCCCTCCCCTCATTTGGAATAGGCAAGCTTGTAATAGTGAATTCTAATAATAGTACAAAAAAAATTCTTGCTGTTTTCCAATAGGCAAACCTGTGGCAAATGGGAAATTCTGGGATGTAGTCGCAATAACAGCAGCCGATGAGAAGCAGGGGCTTGCATACGAGCAACAGTTGTCAGAGAAGCTGAAGAGAAAGGAGTTGCCCCTCGGAGTTCGATATCATGTTTTCGCTGATCCTCCTGGAGCCAAAATTGGTATACATTTCACGGGCATGTTTATAACAGATTTGGAGCAAAATAACAATTGAATAATTTTCTGAGCTTTATAGTATAAAAATTGTTTATCTCCACACATGGCCTTTCCAGCTTTAAAATGAGTCTTAGAGGGTTTGAAAGTCAGAGCAAAGGACCTAAGCCTCTGTGACTGTGACCCAGATAATTATTTAAAAGAAGTGGTTTTTTCTTTTCTTTTTTTTTTTTTTTGCATTAATACAACTACAATAGACCTCATTGGAAGTTCTCTCAAGGTCTTCCCCAACCCAGTAGTTTCTTCACACATTTGCACAAAGAAAACAAGTCAGGAAACTTATGGTATATTTGGTCTCCTGAGACTAAACTATGGAACACAGATGAAGCAGGTCCAGTTGCTTAAAGTAACATAGAATATTTACTTAAACCTTGGTTTTTTTCTAACTTTATCATCATTGCAAATTATATTTCACCTTTGATTCCGTGAGGAGGGAATTGCAGATAATTTCTTCTGCTTTTTTGTTAATTATTGCTTAAAAGTGTTTTGCTTAGGAAGCCAGCATTCATCTTTTATTTACTTATTTAGTTGCTGTGTTTCACTGGAAGTAGTATGACTTTTATAAAAATTTGTCCCTAAAATCGTAGCTCATACGCTAAGAAAAGTTAAATCATCTTCATGCCAGGAAGAGAATGCATGTACATGAGGTTGGCATTTTTCTGATGATCCACTGTGGGTTTAATCCTCCCAGGACGTTCCATTTGTAGAGAAGAATTGGATGTACAGTATGTTAGTAATATTTAAAATGTTTTGTGGAAACCAAGTTCTTATATTAAAAAAAAATTCTAGCTCATGTGTTGGGTTGTGTCATTTGGATGAACTTATTAAGCAAGCGTTCTGGTTGATAACTGCGTATGAATTCACTGTCTAAGGTCATAGATTTGCAATTTATCATTTCTCTCATTACTGCTGGTGAGAGATTATTAGCTCCTGTTTGATAAGTTTCTTGATTGTTTTTTTGTTTGCTTATTTGATGTGACTGCTCTAGTCATCTATCGGCGGTACCTTCTCAACCTGTCACATCTTCAAGATTATAACATTAAATGTACCACCACAAAATCTTCATAGATTTCTGCGAAGCAAATTACGCTTTTTAATTGTCTTTAAGGAAATGGGGGATCAACACTCTGTGCTCTTCAGTGCCTGCGAAGCCTCTATGGAGACACGTGGAATTCTTTCACAGTCCTGTTAATTCACTCTGGTAACTTACTGTTTATCCCTTTACATTCGCCCTTGAATTTTCAGCCTTTGACAGACACCTGAGGGACTTTATCTCCCTTGCAAAAGATTTCCCCTGTATTTTACTTCGTTTTAAAATTTATTGGTGGTATTTTACTTTGGAAATAAATGCTCAGGACATTTTGGGTTGTTTGCTATTTTCAGTATGTAAATAATATGATTTTCACAAAATTTATTCTTAACATTGTAGATTTTGTGCATCATACCTTATGGGTATTTTATCATTTCATCTTTGGTTTGCCAATAGAAAATTGCTTTTCACAAAACTCTTGAAAATGTGGACATTTCTCAGGAGTCTTGAAGGCAAACTTTGTTGTGAAAGAAAATGGATGATGATAAAAACGATGATCAGACATTTCTCAAAACTTATACCTTGCATTTTTGTCTGATTATTGGTAGTCAAAAGCTACAATATTTAGCAGTTTTACAAACAACAGAAAATTGACAAAATACAGAGTTAACATGTTGAAAAAACACATAGAACATGTCAAAAGAGAAATCAGAAGATGTTGTCAGATGGTGGGTAGATTTTTTTTTTAATTCAATACTTAAATAAAAAACATTTCATTGCATGGAAACTTTTGCTGTTTATCTCTATATTCTTGTGGGCTGGTGAAACCTTTCTCAAGGCCTGGCAATGGCCTAGGTTTTATAATTTAGAACGCCCATCATCATAGCTTCAAAGATGCTTTCCAATTCCAAGTTGCATACATGGTAATGTGACTCTTTGTACAGAGGATATCAACGTAGTATACCAAACGCCTGTTTACAGGAAAAACTTAACAATGTAGAATGATTCAATGTCCTGTAGGATAAAGGTAAAGTTAATCAGAACATAGGTAGCAAGAAATAATAGTGGGCCCTCCGAATCCTCCTGCTCCATCCACCTCTGCAGAAGCAGACAGTGGCAGACAGAAAGTATGTGAGGGGTAACAAAAATGTGTCTGTATTGAACATGTGGACTTTGCGTAACTCCTGGAACATCACTGCATAGCTACTGTTCATATAAACATTACATTGCATTAGATAAATAAATCATCCAGTAAGATAGTTGGGGTATATGCAAATAAGTGCCATTTTCGGTCAGGGATCCATGTTCTCAGCTTGGGGTTGTGAACCAGTCTCCACAGATGTGAGGAATGACTCTAGAGTAATTCTTTCAGTGTGAACTTTGCTATCATCTGGTCTTTGGGAAGGGAAACAATTAAAATTATTTTTAGCTCTTATCTCTTGAACAGGGCACTATGTGTAGAGTACTTTAAATGTCGCATTGATCTCTGGATACTGCCCCTGACTGCAGTCAGTCCTCAGGGAGTGGCGGAAGTGTGCAGAGCCAGTGGTGAGCTCACTTATCGGATGCCCCCGGGACAGAAGTCTGCATCTCCCTGTGCACACTTTCTTTACGTAAAAAGGATCCAAGACATTCAGTGTGTTTAAGAGAACACATTTCAGAAATCAAGACATTATGATGTTCATCTTAGAAGGGAAAAGCCAATTTAAATGAAAAAGTGGTATAATTAAAAAAATTGTTCTTAAGTCAATTTGCATTACTTCCTTTAAGTATGTCTCTTAAGTTGAAGACAGTACATCATGAAATGGATGTTTAGCAAAGAAGTACATTTTGTAACCGTTAAACTGCATTAGTCTTTTATACCTTTTTCTAAGTACATCCCTAATATATAACTTTTACCGCAGTTGGGATGCATTATTAGAAATGTTCGTGGAAGATCAAGTTTTAAAAGTGGTCCTTTTGTTAGTTATACAATTGATTCAGAACACTCACTACCCAGGCTCTGTGTGTCTTTGAATTATTTCCTGACCTAGAGTCCTTAAAATTGCGTTACATCTAATTGCCCTATGAGAAACATGCTTTGATGGTTTTAAGGTCTAAATTTCTTAATTCTACCCTTAATTTTGATTAAATGCTTAGTATGAATTATCTTCAACAGTATGTTATGCTGTAATTGGTGCCACCAGACTTTGAAAATCTCTTTAAGAACCTATTTCTGAATGCTTTACATTTTTTATAGGGGGCTACAGTCAACGGCTTCCCAATGCAAGTGCTTTAGGAAAAATCTTCACAGCTTTACCTCTTGGCGAGCCCATTTATCAGATGTTGGACTTAAAACTAGCCATGTATATGGATTTCCCCTCACACATGAAGCCTGGAGTTTTGGTCACCTGTGCAGATGATATTGAACTATACAGTGTTGGGGACTCTGAGTCCATTGCATTTGACCAGCCTGGCTTTACTGCCCTAGCCCATCCATCTAGTCTGGCTGTAGGTACCACTCATGGAGTATTTGTCTTGGACTCTCCCAGTTCTTTGCAACGTGGTGACCTAGAGTACGGGCAATGCCACCGTTTCCTCCATAAGCCCAGCATTGAAAACATGCACCACTTTAATGCTGTGCATAGACCAGGAAGTTGTGGTCAACAGGACTGGACCGGGGGTGACACCACCTGTCATCCATTGCACTCGGAATATGTCTACACAGATAGCCTATTTTACATGGATCATAAATCGGCCAAAAAGCTACTTGATTTCTATGTCAGCGTAGGCCCCCTGAACTGTGAAATAGATGCCTACGGTGACTTTCTGCAGGCACTGGGACCTGGAGCAACTGCAGAGTACACCAAGAACACCTCACACGTCACTAAAGAGGAGTCCCAGTTGTTGGACATGAGGCAGAAAATATTCCACCTCCTCAAGGGAACACCCCTGAATGTTGTTGTCCTCAATAACTCCAGATTTTATCACATTGGGACAACGGAGGAATACCTGCTTCATTTCACTTCTGAGAGTTCGTTACGGTCAGAGCTGGGCTTACAATCCATAGCTTTCAGTGTCTTTCCCAATGTGCCTGAAGACTCCCATGAGACGCCCTGTGTCATCCACAGCATACTGGACTCGGGATGCTGTGTGGCCCCTGGCTCAGTTGTAGAGTATTCCAGATTGGGGCCTGAGGTGTCCATCTCGGAACACTGCATTATCAGCGGTTCCGTCATAGCCAAAGCTGTCCTGCCCCCTCGTTCCTTCGTGTGTTCTTTAAGTGTGGAGCTAAACGGACACTTAGAATATTCTACTATGGTGTTTGGCATGGAAGACAGCTTGAAGAACAGTGTTAAAACCATATCAGATATAAAGACACTTCAGTTTTTCGGAGTCTGTTTTCTGACTTGTTTAGATATTTGGAACCTTAAAGCTACAGAAGAACTGTTCTCAGGAAGTAAGACGCATCTGAGCCTGTGGACGGCTCGAATTTTCCCTGTCTGTTCTTCTCTGAGTGAGTCGGCTGCAGTATCCCTTGGGATGTTAAGTGCTGTAAGGAACCATTCACCATTCAGCCTGAGCAACTTCAAGCTGTTATCCATCCAGGAAATGCTTCTCTGCAAGGATGTAGGAGACATGCTCGCTTATAGGGAGCAACTCTTTCTAGAAATCAGTTCAAATAAACAGTCTGATTTGGGGAAATCTTAAGTACAGTGTATTTTGCCCGTGAACAGGATTGCAAATGCAGGCATAGTCTATGGACCTCTGGGTTTTCACCCTCTTTCCCTCCCTCTCTTCCTGCCTCCCTCCTTCCCTCCTTTCTTTTTGCTCTTCTGGGCTTGTTTCAGTAAAGCAACATAATAAAATTATATTACTATAGCTGGTATAATACAGTAATGACAAAAATACAAATGGCCACTTCTGATAGAAAAACATTTCAGGATTAAATTCAAGAAAGAGATGTTGATTTAGACGTTTTGCACCATTATAGCTTTGCTTTTAAGTAAAGATCAATTTATGTAATGTTGTTCCACATATTAAACATTCCTGTTTTAAATCATGGTTTTTCTAAACATACTTTTAGAAATTTTTTGTCCTTTGAAATTTGGTCTTATAAAGCTCTGTATGTATTGATGATTGTGTTACCACAGTGAGACAGTGCCTAACCAAAACATCCTTTTAAATTTTTAAGAGAATTGTCCTCTTTTGTTAATTCTTCTTTTAATTTTGTTCATTTTTTATTTTATGTGCATGAGTGTATTACCTACAGGCATGCGTATGCACTGCATACTTCAGTTCCCATAGAGGGTGAGTCACAAATTGCTTTGGTGATGGAATGACCCTTTTACAGTCTCACAAAGGCCATCAGAAAACACAAATATTTACATTACAATTCATAAGAGTAGCAACATTACAATTAGGAAATAGCAGCCAGAATAATTTTATGGTTGGGTGTCACCAGAACATAAGGAGCTGTATTAAAGGGTCACAACATTAGGAAGGCTGAGAACCACTGGGCTGGAAGAAGGAATTACATCTCTTGGGACTGAAGTCAAACTTTCATACTCTGAAAATGCAATAACATGATGTTTGTGTCTTACAGATCTTGCCAAATGTGAAAAAAGTATTACTATATTCTTATCATATGAACATGTGTTGCCATATTTTATAAACTACTGTCGAGTTACACTGTTGTGTCTACTGTCGCATTACACTGTTGTGTCTACTGTTGCATTACACTTGAAAACATGTGCGTGAAGAGCTCAGTTGTTTGCTTAGAAGGTGATAGATAGGAAGGAATAGCTGACAGCCCATGCTCACTTCACCATGGACATTCCTTAATCCAGTCTTAATCGATCCTACGGTGTTCCTCGGACTTGCTTTACTTAATTCTCTGTGCATACTAATAGTGATGCTGAGAACAAACAGTTGGCCCAAAGGGGAGGAATACAGACTCTGAGATAGTACCTGGATCATAAACAACTTCAGGGAAATGAAACTGGTGGAATTCCAGGTTATGTGCACCTATTTCGGAATAAGCACATTAGTGAAATAACTTTAGGTTGAAGTTTAATGGAAGCTAGACTTATCATACTTGTGTTTAAATGACCTTAAGTAAACTAACAACTGCTATGCCAATTATATATACAAATTTTAAAATATATAAACAAGGCAACTGTCAAAACCTCTGTACTGTATTATTTATAAGTGAATATGCATTTGTCTTTTTGAGGTTCCCAGGGATAAGTAAAGTATTTGTGATACTTTTATTGATATGCTGCAGAGATTTCAATGGATGATGAATGGCATTAAATGCACATACTAATTTTACTTAAAGTTCTGTCAAGGATTAGAATCATGACTCAGTGTTATAAAATTAATAAAGAATTAATTAAGAATACCATCACTTCCTTGGTTACTTGAAATTTTTGTATTTATTATAGATCTCTTGAAGGCACATTTAGACCGAATTTTATCATTTCTCTGTGCATATGTATAGAAAGGAACAAATAACATGTAGTATATAATGAAGACATTTCTGCCTTTTATAGTCAAGGTCAGCCTCTGTTGAATCACTCAGGAATCAACTCATATTTATGATAAATAGCTGTCCCCAGCATTACCCACTGTGACTTCAAAGGTGTTGGTATGGCTGCTGTTTAACTTTTTTTTATTCTTGAGAATTTCATACATGTGTACAATGGACTATGGCCATAACAACCCTTCATCTTCCCAACTCTCCCATATCCCCCAACATCTGTTCTCCTAAACTCATGTCTTCTTTTGTTTTAATAGTCTACTGAGTCCAGTTAGTGTCCCCCATGAGTACATCCACCAGAACACCACACATCTATCATTAGTCAGATCCTCAAAAGAGAATAATTCTTCCCCCTCCAGAAGCTATCAACTTCAAGTTGTTCCCTGAAAATGTTTGGGTCCTGGAAATTATCTACCTCCTCTGGTAAATTCTGTGTGGCTTGATCCCAAGTGCTGTGAGCTCGTGGCACTAACGGCCATATTATGACCAGAAGACAGTGCTGCTTCCCCGTCCTCCTGCTCTTACATTTCCCGCTGCCTCTTATGCGTTACCCCCTGAGCCTTATGGGAAAGGGTTAAATAAATACCCAATCTAGACCTCAGCACTCATTCTGTTACGCTTAGACTCTTGACCAGTTTCTCATCTCCTTTCTGCTTTTCAACATCAACATGACAGCAAGACTAGAGCATGCACCGTTGTTCCCGACCTTAGTCTATTATACACACGCAATTTTCTGATTTCATGCTTCTGTGGAATAAAGCTACCACAGTCCCGTTGGAAAGTGCCAGGTCTGCTCCTGGCAAAGTTATCTTTTATCTACGTGAGCAAAAATAAACCAAAATTAGATCATGGCTCAGACTTGCCAATTTGGCTGTAGTTTGGCTGGCCACCATTTTGAGTCAGGACAGAATTTTAAATAGAAGAGCAGTAAAATCTGCGGATTCCTCCCTGCCTGAAGATACTTGCAAAATTAGCGCCTAAGGAGAAGGGTGCTTGTGAAGAATGACTAGCAGCACCATCTGCTTATACAGCAGTGTTCACGCCGTGCCTAAAGAGGTCAATCAAAAGGCACCACTGCACATGTAGTGTCCAACACTGTTTCCTTCAAGGCTATTCGGGTCAGTAGTTGACAATTCTGAAAACTCCGGTACAGGGATGTGTAACATGAAGAGTAAAAACCCAGAGACAGATGCTGGGCTTCAAGCTTCAAGCTGAAGATCAGAGAAGCAAAGCAGCCGAGTTAGTAGATCTTGCCTCTACCCAGCTGAAATGGCAATCCTGTCCCCACGATTCCTCAGAGGCAAAACCTCTCAGTTCCTGTCTCCTCCTCCTTTTATTCCTTTCTCCACCTGGCCATACCCTCCTGTCTCTGTAGCTAGGGCGCTACAAATAGAAGTCCCACCGAGATCCGAAAAGAAGGAGAAATGCTGAATGGCCACACTTGAATGCTGGCCAGCAAGTAAGGTGTATTTGAATAGGGGTACCAAGTTAGGGGTACCAAATTAATCTCCAGCCCTCGCCCAGTCCACTGAGGTCGGGAAAGTTAGGGGTAAAATGAGAGATAGCCCTTGTTGAAGGGTGGGTTGAATTAGTCTTCAGCCCTCACCCAATCCACTGAGGCCAGAAAAGTTAGGCCCTCATTTGAAGGCCAGACAGCATTCTCATTAAGGTAAGGAGCAGGTGTATTGAACATGAGTGCTGCTAGTTCTTACCTTCTTATGGAGGAGCAGTTGGTTCAATTGCTTAAAAAGTAGGGCACCAGTATCAGACATAAGACACCAAAAGACTTTAAAAACTATACATAAGGTCAGCCCTTGGTTTTTGGTCTCTGGTGATCTCAATTTCCTCAATTGGGAGCAGGTTAGAGTAGACCTACAAAGGACTTTACAAAAAGAAGGGCCAAATATCATACCAATTTTTACCTTTTCTCTGTGGCATCTCGTTAGGGACATGCGTCTTAGTGATAATACAGTAGTGAAAGACCAGGTCGAGAAAGCTCAAGATGCCTCTGCAGATTGGCTCAGCTGCCAAGAAAACTTAGAACAAGCTTTCAGCTGCTAGGATGTAGGCTTTTTACATACATGGGGGGGTCCCAAGACAAATTAAGACTGATAATGGCCCCGCCTATGTCTACAGAAGTTTCGATCACTTTTGTGAAGATTTTGATATTTCCTCCCAAAACTGGAATTCCTTACAACCCCCCCCCCACAAGGGCAGGCTCTTGTGGAACATGCTCATTGCACTCTGAAAGCCTATTTAGCTAAAGTAAAGAAGGGGTCACCTTGGCTCCCCTCACTCTACTCTATCACTTATCCCGGATATCTTAATTTTTTAAATTGTGGATGCTCCTGGTAACTCCGCAGCAGACCGTCATTGGCGGTCCTCTGTACAGCAAAAGCCTCTGGTTAAATGGAAAGACCTACCCTCAGGCCTTTGGAAAAGGCAAGATCTGGTTTTGGTGTGTGCCCCAGGGATCTTTTTGTGCCTTCCCACAGGATAGTGAGTCCCCAATTTGGGTTCTGGAATGTTGTTTGTGCTCTGTTCCTGCTGATACACATCAGCTGTCAATAGACCTATTAGGCTTTCATGAGGAACCCGCCTGTCCTGATGCTGGCGGGTCTTCAGAGTCAGGTATACCTGGCTATACTCAGCCTCAACCTTAGCCAACGAAAGGCAGCCTTCAGGAAGGAATTAGAAAAGGAAAATCCATTCCTGAGATGCCTTGTGTTTGATCTTCTTATGAAACTTCCTCATATTTACATGGCTGCGTAGTTTTAAGCAATTCATCCATTGCTGTTTTTTTTCCTAATGCCTCTGTTAGTGGCCTCATGATCACCTCCTTTTGCCTGACCCTAGGTGTTGGCAGAGCCCTGCTTAATGGATCCTCGTTTGAGCTGGGTCACGCTAACCTTCTCAGGTATGTCCCTTTGCAGGCCCTGTGCCTGCTTAGACGTTTGCTATATTCAATAACACTCCCTGGGGAGAAGTGCTTTAATTATTTCCTCTAGGAATGCCACTTGAGAAGCTGTTAGAGTGGTGAAATATCAGCCTTGGTGGCCTGTTGGGGAAGTCTTATGCCAATAAAGCACTGTTGAGCCAATACGGAACCAAGATAGGAGGGACTAGGAGTCCAGGAGGACTCTGGGAAGGAGAAACACAGGAGAGTCAAGAAGTAACACCATGGGGTAAGAAGCCCGGAATCGTCTCCGGTAAGAGAAATACATAGATTAACAATTATGGGGTAATTACTTAAGTCAGAGCTAGCCAGTAAGAAACAAGCAAGGCCAACAGCTTCATAATTAATATAGCCTCCTGTGTGTTTATTTGGGACTGATGCGGCTCTAGAACCAGGACGGCGGGAAGGCTTCTCTCAAGGAAAAGGTTTCTCTTTACAGTGGTCCGTGTTCCTGGTATCATGCCAGCAGAACACTCGAACCAGCTCATCCTTACACGGCACGAGAGAGACTTTGACATAGCTATTGTTGCCGCTATTACAGCTGCCGCCAGGGCAGCTGAAGTTTCTGGCTTCCCTGTCTCTTAGCCAGTTGCCACAGCAGGCAGGCTGGATAAGCTCTCAGGGGAGGTTGCCACTGCCTTAAGTTTCCAAAATAATATTAATTCTCTAGGACAACCGGGCACCTTAAATCTTAATCAGCAAATGTCAATTTCATAAATTACATGACTTAATTAGCTATTCAAATTATTAGACCAGGGTGCCTCACCTTTCGGGAAAACCACCTCTTAAAGGACTGCAGCTGACAGGTCAATTACTTAAGGAATGGAGTGGGTCGCTAGCCCTCGGGATTATGGCCCTGGGCAGCACAGTTTTAGCCCTAGTCTGCCTTTGCCATATGGGAAGGACACAAGCCCAGCATCATTTTCATACAAAACAGATTATGCTTTCCTTGGCAGCAAATAACCCCTCAGTGCAGGCCTGGCTGAGCCTGCAAGACAAATGAGCAATCTATGACAGATAAGACTTGGGGACATCCGTTAACCTAAGAGAGAGGGTCTGCGGGGCCTGGGCAGGCTTCTCAATGACAGGTAAAGCAGATGTTGACGTCCTGGGCAACCTAAGGCAGATGCTCATATATATATATATATATATATATATATATATATATATATATATATATGGGGAAGTCCTGTGTATATGTCAATAAAGCAAGCACTTTTGGCCAATAGGGAAGCAAGATAGATGGGACTAGGAGTTGAGGAAGATTCCGGGAAAGAGAAACACAGGGCGTCACCATGTAGCCACCATAGAAGTAAGAGGTCCGTACCCTTTCTCTGGTAAGATGAATACTTAGATTAACAATTATGGGTGAGCCAGTAAGAAACCAAGCAAACGGCCAACAGCTTCATAATTAATATAGCCTCCCGTGTGTTATTTGGGGACTGCAATGTGGCAGGGCTCAGGCAGTTGGCGGGGGAACAACCAAAGCGGCCGGCAAGGAAAAGGTTGCACTCTACAATATATGTAAAGGGGTGGGGGTCTGTTGGACCCTTCTCCCATAGGGATCTGCTGACCAGCTTGTGACTAGGAGCTTCCCTCTTATTCCCCTCCTTCCAATTATTGCCTGGATGCAAGTTCCTGTTTTCCACCCATCCTTATTGCCGGAGGGCCCTGGGAACATGTACTTCTGATTTTGGTAGTTTTCCACCATGCCCGCTTCCTGGTATATAATGCTCCCCTGTGGTTGCAATAAAGGGCATTCTCCTTGCCAGAATGACCTGCTGTCTTTTGTCTTCATTTCAGTCCTCAGGCCCTCGCCCGGATCCTTGAGAAATGCTGTAGTCTCGAGACTGCTACAAGTCTCACTGACTGTGATCAAAGGCATGAGCTCTGTTACTCTTCACCCTTGTGT